AGATACTTATACAAACACTGTAATTTCTCACGCAGTTGCCTACTCATCAAGATGGCTTCCAAACCTGTGATAAGGCCTATTCAATTCAATTCACCACTACAATTAAAAAACATAATTTGAACCAAATGCAAATTGGTTTAACTATGTGTTTACCTTCACTATCTTTAAACTTCTTAATGGCCACTATCTCATTTGTTTCCTTGAGAAAACAAATAAACAGAAACTTAGTACAGATACCGATGTTAACCAAACCAATTCCCAACCCTGTTACCAAACCAATAATTGCAATCCTTCCCCTACAATCCTTGCTCTTCAAAAGTTTATATCTTTACCCAATTTCAGACCAAAATGCTAAAATATGCCCTTTGCTGACAATACACACACAAAAAGTTAGTATCCCTCTTCTTATTTCTTTTGCTAGTAAACCTTCTCCTGGGGACACAAACATGAAGTTGAAACTTGAAACATGATTTTCATTCTAAAAAAGGTCATGTAAGCACTTCAACAAGAATAAGCACAACAATGCAGATAGTTTGCTGTTTTTCATGGCGCGTCCAGTAAAAACACACCAAAAAATAGTGAAAATGATGTTAAACTTTCCCTTGACCAAGGGCAGGACTACAGAAAAAAAATAAGTAATATATTTTCTCTCTTCATAGTCACCCCAAAACTGATCACTTCACAAATGTTTTCCCCTGTCTCCTAGCTAGCACTAATTAAAGTATATTTAGGACCAGGGGACAAAGGAAAATGAGAATCAACTGAGAATAACGAATTTTACATGTGTATAAAGCCTAAAATGTTACATATGGACTCCACTACAAGTTTCCACTTGCTACAAAGTAATGTCTGGGAATTGTTACCTCAAAAACTAAGGAAACTTAACAGATCTATTACTGACTAGATCGATCGATCAAGGGTCATGAATAATATTACAAACGAGTTAACACTTCCCATGGCCCTAAGTATAAAAATAAAGGAGTATCGTACGTTGACAGTTCGGAAGTTTAAAGCTCTCACCTATCATCATGTTATTGAAGCAAATGAACCTTGACATCAATCATGTAAACAATTTGATGACATAATCTGAGCTTTGCTATCGTGCAGACAAGTATGTGTTGTAGTCTAGTTTGGCCTGAGCATCGAATTGGTCACCGAGCTTCGAAATAATCGAGGCAAGAGAAAAACGAAAACACCGATAAATGACTAAAATGCACACTGATCCTTTTTGCGTGAACTCGTCCATCATCAGGTCGATAAAACATGAAAAGCTGGCTGTGATTTTCAACACAAAACAGATAATAGAGGCTTCATATAGTTACCTTATGTCTGCATCTTAAAACGACTCCATAGGCTCCTAAGGATGACAAAAAAGAAGCTCAGATTTGAATCACCAAGCTACACTATTAGTTTCTCCACACAAAACATAATAAACTAAGCTCAAAAAGACGTTAACGTGATTACATTAAAATTACACCTAGCCTAACCCAATTTCATATTCATTACCATGCCTGCAATAATACACTGATTCAAAGACAGCATACCTTCGCCTACAATTCCAAGGACTTCGTACTTATTCATCTGAGATTAACGAACATGGCTGGGCCTTCCTAAATAATTCATCTTTGGGCTGCGTTGCCGTTAGGATAGCGTGAATGATGCCTACCCAGTTACAAAAATTCATCTTCATTCTTGTATAATACCTCCAGGAAGCAGTTGTCTTAGCAGGATAAATATCACTGCGGGAGATCCAGAAGTATCTATTCACATAGTTGTATATGAAAGTATATTGTTACAGATGTTTGAATATCGCTTCTTTCCCTCCGAAATGTTTGACATCTTTCGCTTTTTCGTAACCAACAAGACGAGGTTGTTTTTCCCACAATTCAATTATCATACAACTGAAATTCCTTTGTGATGACGTACTTGACCCCTAACTGATTTGCGCGCGAGAAATGACCGCACTGCGCTCGAGCAGACTGGGAACTTGAATTTTTTTTATTAAGTTCATTCTGTTTCTGTATTTTATATTGTGGTCACAGGCGGAGCCCAGTGAGGTCGGATGAAGTCGGTGAAGGGTTTTGGGTAAGAAAACTTTTTAGTGGGTTGATTCTTGATCATCGGAATCCTGCGGAATGTGTAGCACGTTGTGGGGAGTAATTGCGTGATGGAGACTACGAAATGTGGGATTGTCATTATAACTATTTCTATTAACAAGCAAAATATGTCTCATCGTCTTTATATAATATACTGAATCAGATGTGACAGAATAGATAACAGATTTCACGGTTTGGTTAACTATTAAAATAAGACTCACCACGCGTGGGGTACAGGGGGTACGCCCGCAATGTGCTATGCTAACTGCACCTAAGGAACGCATGCTCAAACATCTGTTGACATTTATCTTCTGTTTCTTCTTTACCTGTGAACCAGTTGATCTTCGTCGGAGTGCGAAGGTCTGATGTCTTTAACATATCTCATCTGTAATTTCAATACTTCAGTTTAAGTCCAAGGGCAAAAACTATCATGTCCAGAGAAAACTTACACGTAAGTAATAGTTTAGAGAAGACTAATTAAGGGAAGTTAAGCTTAAGTTAACATGTACTGATTGGAAACCTAGATTGAAATGGAACCGCGTTCAGCACCAATATAAAACTGCTTTCACGAGGGAACATTAAGCTTACTTGGGGAACTTCAGTTTGAGAATGACGATCTGCTTGGCACTTTTTGTTAAACTATTGGTCAAAACAGTAACTGTTGTAATATGATGATGAATAATTTTCCTAGGCCTTGCTCGGGTAAACTGCAGCCGAGGGTTGTATACGCTCTCTAAAAATGAGACTTAACTCATCATCTTTCAGGCCCTTTTGAACCAATTCTTTGTGTGGCAAGCTTTAACGAGCTGTACTACATTGTGGCATAGATGCTAAAAATGGCACTTGTCATGAGCAAGTGTAGTATAAACTGCTTTTACCATATTTTGCATGTCCATAAGAACAATACCATGTAACCAAAACCTCTTTCAAGTGAAAGAAATGGTCACTTTACGATTCATGGAGAATAATGAGTCTTTTATGCGTAAATGGAAAACCTTTACTACCCTCAAGTGAAAGGGGATTCTCATTATTGCATTTTGAATGATACCGGTATGTTGATATAATGGCTAATTGTTCTTAAATTACTCCAGCTTAACAAAATATTGATTATAATAATGTTGTACAATATTGTTATGTTAGTGTATAATGGACAGATTGGCTGCCTCATCAGTGTTCCAATATCAGACATTTTCTCATTCCTTCGACATTTGACTTGCTGAATTTGAGGGAGTGTATTAGAGGATATTGGTTCTTAAAACAAAATAGACTTTGACACATTTACATGATGTACATGTAGTAGATCTGAAAAAGTATGTGGTGATTTTTTCTTTCTTGTAAAGTAAATTTCCTTCAACTTTACATAATAAAATTTTTAATAACTCCTATCTGCATAGTGAGTTGTTGAAATTTTAAGAGCTTCATTTTATTGGTTATTCTTACCTTGATGGACATGGCATTTATTACTATCCCTTTTTAATTAAGCAGCTATTCACTTCCATACACGCCAATAATATTCCGGTTATCTGTAAAGCTAAACTATTTCAGTCTCTCATACAGTAGTCTTTCTCATGTATGTTTTAATTTAACTGGTGAAGGAATATATAAATATGTACTTTGCTCTTTTACTTTTTGCCTCTTGAACAGTGAAAATAGAGAAGTACTTGCTAAAGCTAATTTGGCCTAATAATAACCTTTTATTTTTTTAGAGACGAGAGAATACCAAATCTCGCACATCTATGCGAGAAAAGCTCGTAGAGAAACAAAAGGCAGTAGATGAACATGAAAGCAACTTCACAGCTGGTCGTGTCAATGTTCAGGAACGTTATCTTCACAGGACTGGAATACGAGGAAGAAAGAGCTGGATATTCTTTGCTGTTTTATATATTCTAACACTTATTGTGATTGTAAATCTTGTGGTAAGTAGACTTAAGACTTACAGTAAAATAATTTTGGCCTGAGTGGTACATGCCTGTCTGAACTCCTGTTTTACATGTATCAGGAGTACCCCGGCCCATCACGTGTATGGAGTCTGTTTCTAGTCAAATACATTGTCCATTTAGAAAAAGTGCTGAGGAAGGTGTCACAATAATTGGCCTTAGGTCAGCAAAGGGGTGAAATGCCTTCAAAGACTGTTGTGAAGCCCTGTGCTGGTTGTTGCTGAGTGATAGGAGATTATACTGTTCCTTGATTGAATTCAAAGTAGACAGACTGCAAATTATAGTAGTTGCTGAAAATATGTCTTCTTGTCCCAACTGTTCATCATTAGGATGCCTAAAATGCATGCAATTCCACAATTGGTTTCGGCTCCATTAAATCCTATACCAATTGCAGAACATTTTAGGAGGAGCCACCCACCGTGTGAGCACAGTCGCTGACAACACATATATAAGTGAGGAAAATAACGCGAAGCAAAACTAAGACGTTATTAAATGAACTAAATGTACACGTAACTGTATTTGAATTAAATAATCTCTGTTTTTGTGATTGCTTTGAGCTTGCTTCCAAGGTTACCAGATCCAATCACAGCTACAAGTTACAAGTAAAAATGGGCAAATTGTAACTGTTATAAATACTCTTTCTTTGTTAGAATGGTGCGTGAATGGAACAATTTGCCCTGCTACATTGTGGAGGCTGGAAATTTAAGACGTTTTAAGGCTAATATTAACTCATACATGTTTATAATTTTGTAATTTCATTCTTTTTCATCATGAATTTTTATTCCTCTTAGATAATGTTTTGATTTTTTAATTTTTATTTTTTAGGAAGTTAATTCATATAGGGTCCACCTCTTTACTGCGCCTTTCACAAACATGCGAACTCTAAAGTTCAAAAGCCGCCTTGACAATTGCATTTTTCGGTGCTGTCAATCATAATAATATTACGATCACAAGCAAAGAACCTTGAAACACAGAAACACACAAAACGGATTGAAATCTAACAATCATAAATCACAAACCATGACCTTTTGAACCCATTAAAATAAAGTTTTGCTTCCTAAGAGGTCCATTAAGATGATTGACGGCAGTGAAAAACGCAGTCGTGAGTTGGCTTGGAACTTCAGAATTCGCATGTTTGTGAAAAGTGCAGTAACTTCCTTTGTGGGGTGTCATTTCTGTATTTTCATTTTTATGATACCTTGAATATAGTATGTATGTAAAGATTTATATAGACACTGTTGCTTGCAAAATCATTTCAATGCAATTACAACAAATGTTTTTTGGGCTTTAGATGCTTGCCTTGTTGTATAATGTCCTACAAATAAACAAGGATGGTATAAAGTGCTTATCCTTTTTTGAGAATAAAATGGTTCGATGGCCATGCTCAAGTGACATGAACTCAATTACTTTGTACAAGAATCAAGCTGGAACCTTTAAAGACCACAACTTGGTTGTAGAATCCAATGAGAATAAGGTATAGTAAATTAAAATAATGATAATAATACACTGTTTTCGAAAAAAGACTCAATGTTTTCATTGGGTTGTGTTACAGTTTTAAAGACATGTTAAGACCCAGTAGATTTTCACTCTCATCACACAGAGGCTATAACTCTTTGCAGTATGTACTAACATGCAAAAAGTAGCCCTTTTTGACAACCATCCATTCCCATTTGATCAGTCCTGTTACAGTTTGTGTTTAAAACAGTAGGTAGAAAACCACTACTACATTCACAACTACTTGTAGCAGATAAAATTGGTGCATATTTCAGAACATAAAAAAGCGTCATTCAGAGTACATGCCATTTTATTCTAAAATTGCAAGATAAAACTCAAGCATCCATGATACACTATAGAAAGCTAGATGGTTTAATGTTGGTAGAGGTTACTTCTAACAGATCAGCATATATTGTAAAAAGGAGGCCTCTGCTTGCAGGGTAAGGCTCGAAAAAATGTCTCGTTCAGTAGTCTAAGACCAGTGGATTTTCTTGCTGGGCAAGTTACTTTTAAAACCCAGTTACCCAATAAGCAAGGGTCCTGCAGGGAAGTCATCCTCTAACTAAATAATCGGCTAAGACAAGTTGCAAGAGGTTGCCCTGGCCAGGTGAGCAAAATGTGAGAGCTGCTTGCCCAAAGGACAAGCTGGAATTCAGGTTCTTTTTGAGTGCTGAAGACTGTAGAGAGATTTAATTTTAGACCGGCCTCAGCTCCCATTGGAAGGTAGTGGTTTTATTAAAAGGCAGCAATAAGGTGTAACTGTTCTTTTTGTTCTGAACACTGATGTCTTCTAAAGGGTTTTTACAAAAAGTCAGAACTAGGTAGCTGGATTGGTTAATTTGAAAATGAAATCTTATCCTTTTCTCAAACTTTTAACTAAAATCCATCACAACCCTACACAGGGCTGTGGTCTAGCAGTGCCTGATGGCTCCCGTTGTCTTGCTTTTGCTGTTGGGTGACTATTATATGCTGTATCATGGAAGTCTTTAAGCCCTGGGCCAATCAATTCTGATCGTTGAAGATAGTCTATCATTGACTATAAGCAACTACAATCCTTTTAACTCATCTGAAATGTGAGTACTACATGAATTGGACTACCAAAACAGAAAATAAGTAGAACAGTGAAGTTCAAAAATCATTGTTTTTGTAAAATTTTTGCAAAGTGTAACAGAGCATCTTTCAATCCTTAGTTTAAAAAGTAAAAGCTTTTTTTGTTTTTATTCCTCCACAGGTAATTTTTCATGGAGGACCAAGTACAAAAAGTGCAGAAGGTATGTTTGATATTATAAAATATATTTTTTGCTCTTTCACACCACATTAGGGCTGTTTATTCGAGAGAAAATAAGGCACGGCTTACATAAAATGCGAATGGAACCATTTATACGATTATGACTTACATAAAACGCAAACTACTCATATAAATGGTTCACGGCTTGGTTTGCGGCCGGACCAGTCCAATGTTGACATAGTTTGTTTTGGTGCCTTATGTAATTTGCAGCGATGGCTGGAGTGAGCCAAAATGCGAAATGATTGGCTTTGGTCAGGAAAATCACCATATTTTACCCTGTCTTTTTCATTTCAAAGTAATGTTTCGGTCAAGATAAGTGCTGGGCTGTTGCGAAATTTGTGCAGAAACCTTGACGAAAAGCTTGTCAGCGATCAATCAATAGGTTTGAATTAAGAGATGTTCCAGTGTTGGATGAGGTCAATTGTACACAAAAGTTCCGTCTCTCTTGTGCAGCAGGTCATTTTTGCGTCACTGCAGTGCACATTTCAGAGGCTGTGCTTTAAGAAAAACTGCAGAGAGCCCAGTGCTCTGAATTTGTGAAATCCAGGTGGTGGAGGTCTGGGATATAATATTTGAAAACAGAGTATGCGCAGCAGTCATCCACAGCTTCAGCAAACCACGAACAGCGTTTGAGTCGATTTATACAAACACCTTTTTGTCTACGGTAAGCCCAGCCCAAAACTCCCCGGCCAGGGTAATCTGCGGCTTGAGCTAACCGTGAACATAGAATTTGTCTTATGTAAGCCGTGGCCTATTTTCTCTGAATATAAACAGCCCTGTTGTCTTGTACTTGAATATTGTAAACCTTCCGCTTTTAAGCCCTGGGCTTATACAACTTTGTAACGGTTTTAAGAAGGGCTTTTAAACAGGCGGCTTATATCCATCAACAGTTGGACTCGAGAAGTTTACGACGATTGTTTTAGAAACCAGTGAAAATTTTGCAACAGTCTGAAAACCATGTAGCACCTAAAGTGAATCACAGGCAGGCCAGATATCAGCTCCATCAGATTCGGCAAAAGAACAAAGAATATTGATGATTTAATGATACGCTGCTGGAATCAGGCTACAAAGTGCAAGTTCAGAGATCTGAAAATGAATGAGTGTCTAATAGAACAGCCTGTTGTTGGAACAAAACAGGAAAGTTCAAGGAAGGCTTTTAGAAAAAGGTAAAGCACTTTCACTTGTCAAAGCAATTGACATTACCCAAACACTCAAACCCATCCTGCTGCAGTTTGAACAGCTAGGAAGGGATCAAAAAAAAGATATGTATAGAATCAAAAAGAGCACCAGCAATGGTAAGAAGTCTAGGCAGTGCCCTAATTGTGGCCTGGAACATTCTTCAAGAACCAGGGAAAGTTGCACTGTGCATAAATCTAAGTGTCGTAACTGCCAGAAACGAAACCATTGGGCAAGAGTATGTTGTACAAACCACAGCAGTTCAAGGGACAGATCTAAAAACAGAGGGAATTCCAGTTCCAATTAGTGCAGAACCAGAGGCCGCCAAGGAAGAGGAAGATCTTCAGATGCTGGACATAGAGAGAACAGCGCAGTTGATTGAAATGAGCAATTTGAGTTAATTACTTTCAAACCAATTGAAGTTGATGCATTTGATCCTCCAAGCGGGGATAATACAAGTGATGAAGTGTTTGTTAAAGTGAATATTGACCTCCACACTAAAAGCAATCGACCATCTTCACTCGAGGAAAAATTGGACACAAGAGCACAAACAAACCTTTTGTCTCTCAGATTATATCGTCATATCTTTCCTCAGAATCTAACAGTGGATGGTCTTCCTAAGTGTGGAGCATGGTACCAGGCTTACACAAAATGGAACCTGCAGGATCACATGTTAATTCTCAGGCTGAAAAGTGGTCACTACCTTCTTCGTTACTGATGCAGATAGTCCATCTCTTGCATGTGACCTCAACCTTATTGTTCTGTTCTATGCTGAAGGGTTCAGCAGGACCCTCAGACACCTGTGAGCTAGCTATGTCCTAGTAAGCCAAACTTGAAGGAGTAACACCCAAGCCAGCCACACCCTTGGTAGCCAGGCCAAGAGGAGCCACATGTTCACTGGCCAAACCTGAAGGAGGCACACCCTTACAACTAGGTGTATCCAGAAAACCCACCCCTCTTCAAGACAGGGATGATTTGGTGAACAGATTTCCTGATTGTTTCAATGGAATTGGAAAATGTTAGGGCCAGTACCATATTACAGTGGATAAGTCAGTAACCCACAGTTGTCCACACCTGGCGACATGTACCACTGAGCCTACATTATGATATCAAGCAGGGGCTAGCCAACATGGTATCGCAAAGTATAATTCCCAAGATGAGTGAGGGCGAGCCAACTGCCAGGGTTAACAGCTTGGTGTGCCAAAATTAAAAAAAAAAGAAAAACCAAATGGCAAACTGAGAATCTGCCTTGACCCAAGGAGCTTAACAAGGATATCCAAAGGGTCCCAACAGTGAAGGAAATTCGGTTCCACGGCTCACAGGTGTGAAATATTTCTCAATAGTCAATGCGAAATGGTGATTTTGAAATGTCCATCCATTACCAGGCTTAGTGCCATGACAGCCACCTTACAAGAGTTGCTTAAGGGAAGGAGTGTCTTCAAATCGACTCCATCACACAAGTAAGCTTTTGACATGGTTAGGAATGCCATCAATGAGGAAGGTACTTTGGCTTACTATGACCCAACCAAAGAAGGTACCTTCCTGGTGGATGCCTCAATAAAGGGTTTCAGAGATTCTCTTCTTCAAGACAAAAAGCCAACTGCATTTGCCAGCAAAGCCCTAACAGATGCAGAGTCGCAATATGCTGACATCAAGAGGGAACTCCTGGATGTAGTGTATGGCTGCGAGTGGTTTCACCCTTTTTTATATGGCCAAAGCATTGTTACAGGCAAGGAAATGCAGAATGCTGATGCATTATCAAGGCTATCACTTGATGTGAAGACTCCTTTGTCTGTGTGTGTCCTTAGTTCTCCTATGTGCGCTTGCAGAGAATTCAACTGGAAACTGCCAAAAACAGAGCTTTGCTGCTCTTGAGGCATATGAGTTTAATGATTGGCCCACAACAGAAAAGCAGTTTCTACCATTGGTTCAACCCTACTGGACCTATCAGAAGGAGTTATCTGTCAAAGATGGTCTGCTTCTGAAAGGTCAGCAGATTGTTATTCCCAAGACACTCTAGGGAAGCATTTAAAGTGAGGTACAACCTTAGATATTCAACCAGTCTGGCAGTTTGACAATATTATTAGTTTGCTGCATGTCCTGTAGTGCCCTCCAGAACCTGGTCCTGAGATGACAGGTTGACTGATTGGGCTGCCTGTGTCTGAAATGACACTCTGGTTTGTTTTCAAAACTCTGTTGCTTGACTTGGGTGCTCCTGAAGCTGACCTTCTCCCTAAGTCAAACCTTACCAGTCTGTCTCTTTGGCCTGGACTTGTAGGTGACCCTCAGATCTTTGACTGGTGTGGAGACTACATAAGATTTATGAATTCCCTGGATCTTGTCTTGTATCAATGCTGGCTTGATCTGATTCCTGGGTTCTTGGGTTCTCAACTGCTACCCTCTGACCTTTTTCAAGGCTTGGTAACACCTTGGTGTGTTAAGTGTAATAGTGCTTCTTGTAACAATAAGCATTGTTTGCTAGTAGCCTCATTCCAGTGTCAACTTAAGAGACGAGCATTTTGCATATCGAGGCGGTTGGTGCAATACTTGGTGGGAGATATTAAACAAGAATTGGTTTCTTGAGCGGTGTGATTTCTTCATGACTAAACACGTCTATTGAGCTTGTTTCACCTGCAACCTACTGATAATATCATCAGTATTTGGACTTTCTTTTTCTTGCAATGTATCACCCAAAGCATCTCTGCTAGGCCTGGTATCTTACTTTTGAAAGGATTTGTTTGAAGTCTTGAGAGTGCTATGTTGGAGTCTGAATGAGTTCTCTTTGCTTGCTTCAGGGTTCTCTTGACAATCTTGACTTGACTCTTGATGAAGCCATTGCTGCCTGAATATTATTGGGAGAAATTGTGACATGGCTGAACCCATATTCCTTTGCAAATTTACAATAGTAGCTTTGGGAATGTGGGCCATTATTGTCCCTCACAATTTGTGGAATGCCTTACTCACTGAATATTTGCTTTGTTAGATCAATAGCAACCTTACTTGTGTTCTGGTGTCTGGGTATCTTTCTTACAAAGGAAACCTTAGAAAAAAAATCAGTAATTATTGGGTATTCATCATCATCCACGTAGAACAGATCAGTTCCCACTGTATGTCAAGGCCTGGTGGTACCTCTGTCTGAATTAGCAGTCGCCTTGCCAGCTTAGGTTGGAGTTCTTAAAAGACTTTGTATGACTGAGTCAATTCCTCAATGTCCTTAGGGTTGAACCAATGATGGAAGCCGCTTTACTGTTGTGGGACAACCATTAAAAACGTCTTCACTTTTCTTAATATGCCTCCGTGTACTTTCATCATTCAACAGTACATCAGTTTTTTTTTCTTTACCTTAGCTGTTATAGTTTTCCAATCACTTTTAACAAAACAAACTGCTTGCCAACTTGCTTTCCAGTGCATGTGGGCCCTGATAAAACAGAGATTCATGCAAAACGAGGCTTCAGATTTGTTGATCCATATGAAAAAAAGACCATTCTGAACTTGAATGGTAGTGTGTGGCATATCAAACCAGAGTCAGTCAAAGCATCTACAGTTACAGGAGACTCACTGGTGACACATCGAGTAAGATCAGTAGTTAGATTCCTAGTGATAATTATACTGGTTTACAGTCTGTAGTCCACTATTCAAGTCCTTGCTTATACCATAAACTATCTAAAAAGGGCCCCTTTTGAACAGTCAAGATAAAGTATGTTTCCTCATCCCTAATAAGCCCCTACTCCATAATTACCACGATTTGATTTGTTTCATTTGCGAAAAGAATAACCATTGTCTTAATGATTCTGTAAAGATTCCACAAACTCAAAGGTTTGATGTAAGGTAGCTGACTGTTAGAACAAGTTTGCAGAACCACAGCCAGTATTCGCACAAAGTGGCTGTAAAGTATCTTTCTAGTTCTGTTTTTTCCTTGATTTGCACATTGCCCTATGGTGATTTTCATATGCTTTGAACAGTCCTGATAGTAATATGACAAAGTTAGTTGCCAAGGGTTGCCACTTCAGTTTTCAATAAGACCGCTACAAAATTTCTCAAAGAAAATTACCCACTTCTGCCCTCCTGCTTAGGGGCAAATTAGATAGGTTATGGTAAAAGAAATACACGTATGTACACTGGAGAGACATTAAGGATGCCTCAGCTGGCATTGCAACAAAATTAATGATATTTAGTTACCAGTATATGCATTATTAATACTTTGTTATATGTTAGTTAAGTACAAGAAAGCAGTAGGCAAAAATTATCATTTTAAAAATGGGTACAGCGGAAAAATTGGAAAAACAGTAATAGGTACATTTATTAGAAACATGAGGACTGAAGTCTGTTAGCCAAAAATGAATGTTCCTAGCAAGATCAGAGTCTGAAAATGAGTTGTGACTAATATTCTCCTTTGTTATTGTGATGTAAACATGCAAGTATGGAGGCATTTTCAGTCATCATGTATCCTGCACCCTTGAGGTTGCTGATAATCAATTATCACCGGTCTGCATTTTTCTTAAGATCTTGCAGAAGCCAAATCCAATTATTGGTTATTACTAGCATTACCATTTATGTATCAAATAATAAACTGTGAAGTATGTTTAATTCGTATGTAGGTTGTAAGTGATGAGAACCAGAATCTGACAGTGACATCTGAAGAAGCGATTTCAGTGGAGGGACATGAAGGAGTGTTCTTTGATGGTAAAACGGTGCAGTTCATTGCTAAGACAGATGTGGACATTTCTTCTTCACAAGCGGTAACTAAATTTGTCACTTGATGCGTTTATCTTAACATTGCGGTGACTCTTAAAGTTTAATCTCATCAATTTTTTGACTCTGTTAATTTTCCTTCAATCTTAGGGAATTGAATTTGTAGCCAATAAAGGAGTCCAGTTTATTGGTTTCCCTGGTCCTTCACCTGCCTTATCAAGTTCAGGTATAGAACGTTACAAACTGTGTGCCTGTATCAACACTGGAGAACTCTTTCGTGTGTTGGTTACTTTAAATGGCACTTCATGTTCTACAGAAGAGCCTGTTTGTTAATCACGAAGGTTATAATAAGTAATTAATGAGATGATGTCCAGATAATGCTCATGTGCTGCCACCACACGACTGTAATGGATGCTGGCACCTTAATGGCATTTTGTTAAGGTCATAGAAAGCCTAAGTTTACCTTTTATTTACTCCTTCTGAGAACTACAGTTTAGTTCCTCCTTTTTCAATCAATATTTTTATACAATTCTGAATTTTATAATGGGTACGTATGGTTTCTTGTCTGACTGATAGAAATGGGCAAAGATCTTTTTTTGTACTATCATATTTCTCGGAGTATGTGCAATGTACCATGAAAATAGTTATGTGTAATTTATTTTGTACTTTTTATCTTGAGGCAATTATAACTATGGGGTGACTACTAAACAAGCACTTATAGCTTTTGGGGTTTTGTTGTTCCTTGAGTTTATAGAATTTAGTATTATTTATAGTATTTTGAACCACTGTTTTCAAACCGAGATTTGAATGGTTACAATCTAAAAGTTTTATAACAACATTGTAGTAAGGCTCAGTCATGGCAACCGTTTAAGGGGTTCCATGGATAACCACGGAAGTAATGGGGAGATGTTTTATTGAATAGCCTGCTGAAGCATTTTGGGTGTCTTGCTGTCAATCACACTTGATTGTCATAGCCAATACAATTTTTGGAATGTGCTTGACTAAAAAGCTGCTTATAAGTAGTAATTAGAGAACATAGAGTATAGTTTTCAGAGGGATACTGGGAATGCAAACGATGCTGGTAAGAATAAGTGATACTCCTGAATGATACAATAATTGATGCAATTAAATCAGTACAATGACATCAATGACAAACTCTGAGATGATAGGTCTTTTTGGATCTCCTTCAACTCCGTGACAGACGTTTGAGAGTCCAGAATTTCAGTTACCCTTGAAAATGAAAGGCTTCCGTTTTTATAACGGGAGAAACATCGATCTTGACGGAAAGTTGTTCATTTAGTGCTTTTGTCCTTAAATATTTTCAGTTTGTTCCGACTGTCTGTTTTAAAATCTTTTCACTATCCCATTCCTTCTGACACTTACAAATAGATTTTTCTTCTAATGGTCTTGCATCGTTTTTGTATTTCGAGAAACTCAAGTATATATTCTACATTGTAATGGAAGAAAGGAAGACAAACTGGCTCTAGAAGGTATTTTGTGTAAAGGCTAATAGCAAATAGTGTTTCGCTAGCAGTATAAAGGATTTTCTGTATTTCCTGGTCTAAAAAAGGTGCATGGATAATAAATATTTCCTAATAAATTATATAGAGTGGTATTTTTTCACGCTTAAGGAATATTTAACATTTGTATGTATCATATTAAATTTAGTGACTTGTTAAAGTTAAAGGCCGATATTTTGTAGTCTTTTGATGTGTAAATAGATAAGTAAATAAATGAATAAATAAATAAAAGTAAATGTTTCACTCAGGGTTCATTGCCCTCGTTTGGATACTTAACAGCAAAGAGACTTGATACTTGGTAAGCGGCAACTATCTGCAGAGGTGGATCCTACTCGACGCTGTTTCCCGGCTTAGCTCGCGCGTTTGGCGAAGTGATCCGTTTGCTCGCGTATATAAGCCCAGTTAGAGAGGTCGCTTGCATTTCCTTGGTTCCTTCGCTCTCCCATGTCGTTTTTACAAGTACAAAATAAGATTGCTTTACTGAACCGGGGAGTGGCTAAATGGACATGGAGAAATGAACAAAACTGTTATTAGTAATGTGAAACCACACTAAAAGGTTACGTCCCCAGGTATTAAAACTTTTAAAAAGTTGGACCAATTTTTTCTAGTTTTGCAGTCAAACCGGGAAAACCGTGGAACCAGAAATATTTCTGGAATGTCATTGTGTTGCAAGAAAAAGCCAATCAAGTGTGAGATAACTAAACCGCAAGAAAGAAAGTTGATTAGTTTGTGGTTTTGTGGCCTTCTCGCATCTCCTGATCTTTGCTGTGATTGGTCGTAACACAATAAACATTCCTGAATTATTTCAAGAGTTCACGGCTTTCCCGGTCGCACTGTAATGCCATGCCTGTATCTACAGAAAATTATTATGGTTAGTGCCCCCCTGATGAATTTTGTTAGAAGTCTCCTTCTTAACTTTACAGGAACGTTTTGTGTATGGCTAAAGGCACTAGACTGAAACTCAGACTGACGAAAAACAGCAATATCCCCGTGACATAGTTTCTTTATTAAAGTAACAATACTGGACCATTATTTACGGAATTCAATTGATGCATTTAAAACGTTTTAGCTTTTAGAAAACATACTTAGCAAAAACCGTGACTTATCCCCTTTAAGGCCATCCTCTTTCAAGCGAGACTCACATCAAGATGAAAGCATTTCTCTTTTTTTTCGTGTGTGGGCGCTAAATATGGTCCCCGGCGTTCCTAGCGGAGACCGTGGGAACTGAGGATAAGTATCTCGGCGTGACGAAAGTTATGTTCGGAAGATTAATGTAGAGCTTTTCCGGAACGAGTGAATTACTTTGGAACAAGTGAATACTTCAGTGGTTGAAAAAAACAAGAATCTTAGATGAGCAAAAACGAAGCTGAGGCTAAGTATGATGTAAACTTTCATTGTTTGCAAATGAGGCTTGTGATGAGCAGGGGATGATTGAAATGGCGCGCTACATGTATGTTGATCGATCACGTTTCGCCGAAAACGATTTAGACTACTGGACCGTCGATTAAAAAAGGCATGAAAAACTAAAACCAAGGAAATTCTGTTCCCTGTAGGAAGCCACGTTGTTTCAGAGGCGAAGAGTTCGAAAGCAAGTGAATTTAATTTAAATTCCCGTGAATTGAGGAATCGATGTTTTATCGTAGATTCACTTTATTGTATGTATTTAATTGATAGATTTTCGAAGTTGTTAATCGTCCCATTGAAGGGATTCCGGAATCCCTTATCCGGAACCTGGGTAAATTTTGCTTGTGGAATCCGTAATCCTTGGCTTTGGAATCCGGAATACAGCTGAAGGAATCCTGAATCATACTATGGATTGGAATTCAGAATCCAAGGTTCACTAAAAAAAGACTGGAATCAAGTGCCTGGAATCAGGAATCCACAGCGTGGAATCCGGAATCGAAGACTTCTTGGATTCCCTTACATGAGGCTTGAGATATCAATGACTTAATTAACTTCAACTGTTCATCACGCATTTGTCACGGATGTGTTACCAGTAGCTTTGTACGTTTTGTCACACACTCTGCTTACAGGACTTCATTTCCAGTAGAATCTACTAGTCTGCAAATTGGAATAGTATTTTTATTTTTGTAGTAGTGTGAGAAATGTGTTTTTATTTTTCATACTGACGTCTTCGTTGATGTTTCCTCGTTGTCATAGGTTTGCAAGGTCTAGCCTCTTTGCTTCATATTGCCTTTGATTGTGGAAGACTCCTTTAAATTACAGTGTAATTACCTAGACATCAATTTTCACTTTAGATTTATAATTACTGCATTTTTCATTATTAGTTTTTAGCAGCTTAGTATTCTTTTGCTTTCGACGGCTAACACTAGAGCACAAGGCATGAGAAGTAAATGTCACAACATAAGCAGATGAAGGGCGCCCACGGTGTGGTGTTTCTATTCAGAAAAAATAAAATAAAAAATTTAACTTTATAATAAAAATCACGTTTAAGCAATCTCATGGTTTTTTTGAGGTTTACCCACATAATAATTAATAGTTAGCGAATGGGCGCAAATTAAGTTACCCAACTGTAACATTATAATTTTCTTCCAGTTTTAAAACGGAAGGCATGCGAAGTCTCTGACTATTGTGTGTACCAAAGGCAGTACATGGTTACTGTGTAACCTGGCTAGCTAGCATTTTTCTCCCTCCGCAGATAGTCCTTATGGCTTACTACACGCCCGGACACAGGCTCCTTAAGAATTAATTGCCTCCTCATTTCTTATCTTATCTCCAAGCATGGTCGAATCGACGTTTTTAGAGCGTCTTGTTTCTTGTCAAATCTCCAAGCAAGCGAGACTTCACGCTTTTAAGAGGGTTCTTGTTTTTTTTTTAAAGCGCACGAGGTGAGAGGGAAAGAAATAACGCAGAGACATAAAGCGATTATAAGGGAGAGGGCATGATCTCGGGCTGGTCTACTTTACACTGTATTCACCCGTTTTTCAGGGCAGTTTTCCAAAATATACAAGAGCGTACTCGTCAACCGAAGTTTTCTTGCTAGAGAACAATTTCACTACAGTATCGTTCAGAAGTAATACTAAAAAATCAGTGATTCTTATAAAACACATGTAAGCTTATGAATTCGATTCACACGTGTTGATTTTATACAAATCTCCTTTTATTCAGCGGGTGTAAAATACAGGTCACTTTTCCACAGGTCAGAGGACAGGTCACCATGATCATACAGATAAATGAACCGCATTAGTCTAAAAGTGTCTCCTCAGAAGCCCTATTGGATCGAGGGAAATATGTTTGGTTTGGTAATTTATCGATGGAGCAGTGACCTGTACTTCTGAATTTTTGACTTGTGGAATGTGACCGTAATTTAGACCACGACATTATCTGTGACATGTTAAAGATGAAACGTAATCTATGACGTCAAAAAATTATTTCGAAGAAAACAACAGAACGACTAATGTCATGATCTCAAAAGATCGTGTGAAATATCAGGAGTTAAAGGAAAATACATAGATTTTTTTATCCGAGTTTTGTGGCTCACAGCCACTTCGATTTTTAACTGCGCTTTGATTACCGTTCAACTACTTAGCGACATAAACTATTTTCACTGCGCACCATGTAACCAAGTCTACATGAGACGAGTCATTCCGCAGTCACTTCGGTGCAATATACTCTTCTAATTTATGCCACAATTCAGGGAACACAGTTTTGACTTCTGAGGGGCTAGGGACGTGTCGATCCCTGTAGTCAAAGCCAGGAGAAACTTGCTCTGAAATTAAAGTAAACGGTGTTTCACCTGGAAACGTGGCTGATTCTTCTTCCTCTAAGATTTTACCAGCCTTTAGAAAACCACCGGGGACCCGAAGCTGTGGTACGTGCCCTTTTGAAGTATTGCGACCCAATACATATTCCTCAACATGACCTTTTGGCGAAACAAGGATGTACTTTGCTGGCCATCCGTCGTGAAAGTAATGCACGTTATCGCTCTTGTTTCTGTGTAGATAGTTTTTGCCACCCAGTTCTGGTGAAATCATGTAGTAAATTGTGGTGAATAAATTCCGCTCGCCGCCCTCTCGATCTGGTGTAGAAATTGTTTGAGGTGATCGAAAGGTTTCCTTGAAGTAACCCCCTTCCTTAGACAAGGGAGTTAAGCCCATCTCTTCAGCGTAACAATCCTTTCTATGATACATTAGGATAAGGCGTAACTCATGGTGAGTACTTTGACTGTTTTATAAAATCAGAGTCAATTAAGCTATCCAAGCTTCAGTGAATCATGATGTTATAATTACTGCCGTAAAAGGAAATACCGGAAAGGCGACCATGATCTGATCTGGATAATCATTGGTCAATATTCTCTCTGGGGGCTGGGATCGGCAATATAACCCTAAGGAAGTCCACGCTTCATGAAAACAAACACGACAATATTAGTTAATCAATTTTACGGTGCGACTACTATAACCCTTAACCTAGACAAAGTTGACCAATCGGATTACAGGAAAATAACAATACATTCCGAGAAAGTTAGTTGTCAGTCATAACTACCACGAAACGACATAAACAGTAAGGATCAAAATCAACCAATCACAACCTACACACGTGACCTTTTGAACCCGCTGAGGAAAGCCCGTGATTCCTGAGAGGTCCGTTAAAGAGTGTGACGAAGGCGAAAAATGTCAACTTGGCGTTAGTTATAATCTGACTTGAGGTCGCGTGTTATTGTGCCTCGAGTAACTTACTGTTTTTTACGAGCTGCTTATTGGCCCACAACCAACTTTCTCGAAATGTAGGTTGTTTAGCATATATATAAAAAAATTCCGGAAATTTTGGTTAAAATTTTCGGATTATCGCGCTGCGCTAGACTGGATTCTAGTTACAACATTAAACTACAATTGACTCTCGATAACTCGAACCCTCACTAACTCGAACCAAAATCGATTTCCCCTGGATTTGCGTAATACATTTTCAGTAATTTTACCCTCAGTAACTCGAACCCTCGATAACTCGAACCTCCCACTAACTCGAAGTAATTTTTGTTTCCCCTCAGATCATTTCTATGTAGTTTTACCCTCGATAACTCGAACCATGTTTTGAGCCCTTAAAAAGTCGGGAAAAAACAATGTCATTGAATTTTGAATTTCCCATTGACGTGTTGTACATATAGTTAAACTACTAGTGGATCGATAGTGGAGGCTGATGTTGTTTGTCACAAATCTAACGTGAAATAGCTTTACTTCTCAAAAAGTAAACGGCAACATTTTGTTACTTTACGTTCTGATTTATAATCTAAAAGTTTCTTTCAACTTTCACTCAACATTTCTGTGATTAAAATGCTCACTGTGCAAAAACTGTCTTTTTCCTTACTCCTTGCAATTTTCTTTGAGCTCCCGATAACTCGAACCTTTTTCGATTTCCCTTGAAGGTTCGGGTTATCGGGTGTCGACTGTAGTACGAAACTCAAGAAACTTGTAAATGGTAAACGAATTTCCATTCGGAACGTCCCAATCGGGAAAATGGGACTACCTTTTCAGAATTTCCGTTTGTCCCGCGAATTTTCAGTGGCACAAACCAAAAAATCGTTTACCATTTACATCCCAACCGGGATTTATGGTAATCCGATTGGTCAACTTTGTCTAAGTGGCCCCAGTTACAGTAGTCCCACTGTAATTAATTTTTCGAGATATTTAATTTTTTTCTTGTAAATAAGTGTACCTTTTATGTTCACGATCTCAGCAACAGCAGCTACTGACAGTATTTCGTCTCGCTTGCGTAAGCAGCGAGACTCATAATCTGCAATCCGTTTTTCTTCTTCGTATTTAGGGACTTGTCAGAAATTAGC